GAACCCACGGGGAGGAGGAACGAACCCACGGGGAGGAGGAACGAACCCACGGGGAGGAGGAACGAACCCACGGGGAGGAGAAATGACCTGGGGGGGGGCAGGCAGCTGTGGTGTGTTACCTGAGGTGTGGGCGTGGCTCCGTCCCCTCCGGCTCCGTTGGGGCCCCCAGCGGGGCCACGGGGGCCGGCAGTGAAGCCCCCTGTCTGAGCGGCGAGGCCGGGGACCATGGCCGGGGGCGTCTGGCTGTGTGTGGGACCCTGGGGGGCGCTGGGCAGGGCGGGGGGCATCTGAGCGGGCAGGTGAAGAGGCATCCTCTGCACCATCACCCCTGGAGCACCGCTGGCCGGGGTCCAACCAGGGGGGACGCTCGGGACGCGGGCCGGCGCGGGCCCGTCCGGGTGGGGCTGCATAGGCGCCATGGGCTGGGTCAGCAGGGGCTGGGGGACGGGGGCTGCAGGGACGATGGGGGGCGCTCTCTGCTGCTGTTTGGTCCGGTAGTCCTCAATCAGCTCTGCATGGTCCTTCTGCTGCTTCCGGATCTGAACACACAAACCAAGACGTGCGTCATCATGTGTGCTCCCTTCAAATCAGACTTCTTGTTTAAGTGTTGCTATTGGTAGTAATCGTCACATTTAAATGGAGTTTTTGTGTGTAATCGATTACTTTTACGTCTAATAGATCAGACTTATTATTTGAAAGTAATTTATTGAAGAATTCATCATGATTTTATCTTTAAATGACTTTGTTCATTCAAACCATTGAACTTTTTAAAATTGTATTTATTTAGTGTATTAATAGTAATAATTCTGAGTTTTATTTTTAAATTGAATCTATTTGTTTTAATTCTTACCATTTTTCTAAATGCTTCTGACAGCTCTGAATGGTCTTAGTTTTACAGAGTCTACATTTATTTTACACCTGCTCGCCCGTTCTGTGTTCTTTTAACACTTGGTACCACTTTATTCTCTTTGTCAAACTGAATGCTGATTGTTCATGTGTTTGAATGTCAACACGCAGCGCAGCGGTTTTATGTTCATGATGACATTTCCACCTTTCTGACGGATCCTGCCTCTGCTCGCTGCACTTCTGAACTCAATCTGTTCTCTAAATCCTTTTTTGTTGTTGTTGTTTTTAAATTCCTTTGAGGAATGAACATGTGCTGCAAAAGGCCCAGGTGTGTTCCGGTACCTGCTCCAGCTGTTTCTGGACCGCCCCCTGCTGCTCACTGATGTAGCGCAGCTGGGCAGCGTCCTCCTCTGCGAATGCTCGTCCTGCTCTCTTGGCCGTTCTCTGTTTGGCCGACAGAGCCTTCTTAGTCTTGCGGTGGGCAGCGATTTGGTCCTCCAGGAGGCGCTGCTGCATCTGCAGGAGCTGCTGCGTCTCCCCCAACCACTCCTCGTACTGACGCCGCTGAGACTCGTCTGAGAAAAGTTTGGTTTCAGTGACAAAGAACGCCATGATAGACCAGTGCTGCCAGTAAAAAGTTGTTCTGGAGCCCTGAAGGGGGGTAACTACTCACTGACGAAGCCCGGGCCGAAGCTGGGGGGGCTGGGTCTCACCAGCTGAGGGTTCACCTTCCCGTCCTGACAGCGAGAGCAGATGGTCAGAGCTCAGCTCTCACAGGAGCCACAGTGGAGTGTTCACACTGGGTTTCAGCGCTGCACAAACAAAGCTGCTGTGGTGCTACATACCTGTCCCACCACATGTGGAGGCTGAGGGGTCCCCTCTGGGCCTGGGGCCGCTGGAACCTGCTGGATCCTGGAACACACACCAAGAGTCAACGGTAAGCCGACACGCAGCTACACTCACCCGATGGCTTTGAAAGTCACGTTATGACTTCAAAAACCACCGAAACGACACAATTCATGAGCCAGAAACCGTAAAAACTGAATCATCAGAGTTTCATCTTTCAGCAGCTGACCCGAGTGACGTGTGGCTCTCTGAACCTCAAACAGCATCTCCTGCTCCTGGTTCAGTTTAACTCTCATACCCCCGTTCCACCAAGAAGAACCAGGTGCTGGTTCCAGTGTTTAGTTGGTTCCAATCTAAGAACCTGGTTGCTTCTCTATCAGCCAGGAGCTAAATCAGAACCATGCGTCACTGCATACGGAGCCGTTTACTGAACAACGCTGGCGCCACTCAGAAGTCACACAGGAGTCCAGACTGAGTGTCACCTCCCACCTTGTCACAGGAAGAGCACGAGACGGGCTGAACATGTTCTGATCGATAGACTCTACAGTTTACGATGTTCTGGTTCCACAGGGTGAGACCCGGGAGGCGGGAGGTTCTGGTTCTACAGAACCTGATTAGAAACAGCCCGTTTTTGGATCATTTTCAGTGAGACATGTAAAGCGGTTTGGATGAAGCCGGAGGTGTCACTCTGGTGCTGCTGAACATAACGTGCCTTTGAAACCGGTCTGGGGTTGTGGGTCGAGCCTGCTCGGCTATCTGTGATGTGAATGAAAGCCCGAAGGCCTCGTCGTGTGAAAACACATGTTCCAGAGTTCAGAGGCGGCGGTCCGTACCTGTTCATGACCATGGGGTTCAGGCCCAGGCTGCCCTGACTCATCACCTTGTTGATGCCCTTCAGAGCCACCATCTTGGCCTTCATGATGGGGTCGGAGATGGAGTCGAAGTCTGTGGGACACAAACAGAGTGGGCTCAGCAGGAGCTCCGTCACAGGACAGGACAAGCCCCGTGCAGGTGTAAGCGGGTCTTACCCATGTTGGGGAACACAGGGTCCGAGCTGGACCGCTGTCTGATCAGGGCCTGCATCTGCTTCTGCTGCTGCTGCTCCTGCCGCTCCTGGTCCAGCAGGTCCTGCAGCAGCAGCGGCTGCTCCTCCAGGAGCAGAGGCCGGCCCTTGCTCTGGCTCTGGGTCTGGGTGGACGTCCCCGGCTGTGGAGGCTGAGGCTGGGGGCTGAGGAGGAGGTGAGGAGGGGCGGGGAGGTCCTGGGGGTGGGGGGTGAGGAGAACTGAGGAGGACGAGGAGGGTGCAAAGGATCTCTGCTGCTGCTGGAAGGAAGACTGGTGACCTGGAGAACCAAGGAGTCAGAGGAGGAGAGACATAGGAGACAAGAGGAGGAGTCAGAGGAGGAGATATAGGAGACAAGAGGAGGAGACGAGGAGATATAGGAGGAGACAATAGGAGGAGTCAGAGGAGAAGAGACACAGGAGACAAGAGGAGACGAGGAGATGACGAGATTGTCCAGTCATAAATCCGCTGTCCATTCGACCAACGAATACAGATCAATAATGGATCAATACCTTGGTCCTTACCTGCAGCCATGGGGGGGTGACCTCTGGGAGCCAGGCCCGCTGACAGAGCCTGCTCCTGGGCCTGGAGGGCCGGCAAGGCTCCTGGACCAGAGTCCTCCATGTTCTCCTGCAGGACGGAGGGAGGTGAAGGTTGGCATGACGTTTTCTACAAACTACTGATCATTAGTTCCATCACTGATCAATACTGAGGACATGGTCCCACCTTGGTAAGGAGGACGGAGGGCCCTGCAGCCTCGGCTCCGGGAGCTCCGAGGGGCCTGCTGGGGGTGCTGCTCCCGGTCTCCGTCTTCACGTCGTCCTTGGCCTCCTGCTTGACCTGACAGACCGGCGGTCCGTCACTCCTCCTGGCGCTGCCAGCGCCGTCCCTACGCTCTCCTACCTCCTTGTCCTCCACTGGCTCCCCCAGGTCCAGCTCCTCGTTGAACATGTCCTTCTTGTCCTCCAGGTTGAGCTCGGGGTCGGCGTAGGCGATCAGGTCGAACTTCCCCGAAAGCAGGAAGTCATCGAGGTGGAGGTCGTTGGGGCCCAGATCCAAGTCTTCTTTTCCTGAGACAGAAGCAGAGGAGATGAAGGAGGGACAGAAGTGCCTGGATGTCTTCATCAAACCTGACTATTGATCACTGAGCTGCTCCTGCAGGAACGCTCATCATGACACAGCACAGTACAGGAAACAATATCAAACCATCTCATCCCCCACTGTAATCAGATTACTTCTACAGCAGAGTACTGTCTCTTATATCAGATTACAAACTACCAGTTCACATTCAGAGATTAACTTCAG